CTCAGAAACTCTATACAGGATCGGGATGAGTCGGAATCGACTCATGACAGAACAACAACAACAACAACAACAACAACAACAACAACACTAGGTCATGAGCCATTACGAAAAGACCCTGAAAATGGTCTGTGTAGGAATCCGTGGGTTGGAGACAGGGTCTCTGGGACACAACACGAGTAGCTACAAAATGCATAGTTTCTTCCCACAGATACATGAAAATATTTACTGCCAACACGGTATTTATTATTTTCATTTTAGAAATGTTGTGTATATTGTGAAAAAAACACATAGCAAAACCTGTACCCACATAACAATTTCTACATGTACAGTTCCACGACATTGGCTGCAATCTCCACATTGTGTCACATTCTCTCCATCTTTACTTGTACTGCTTCACTATCACTGGCTTCGACTCACACTGCTCACTGACTTTTCACCTACGCTTTAGAGTCACTGTTTAGACTTTGATCTCATATAGATAATTCTGCAGAAGGGCTCAGGCTAACATTCTTTCCTAATTGTGTTTAACTGTTGTTTAGTTTGGAGTCCTAAGGAGCTCTGGTATCGTAGTGGTTACAAGTTGGGCTGTTAACCTCACGGTCAGCAGTTTGAAACTACCAGCGGTTCCGTGGGAGAAAGATGAGGCTTTCTGCTCCCTTAAAGATTTACAGCCTCAGAAACCCTGTACAGGGTCGCTATAGGTCGGAACTTAACTCCACAGCACACCAGCACCACCACCAGTTTGGAGTCCTGGAGTCCTGGTGTGGCGCTGCAAGATAAGCACTAGACTACAAAGTCAGCAGCTCAAACTCACCGCAGCTCCTCGGAAATGCTGTACAAGGTTGCTCTGAGTTGGATTAAAGATAACTTATGGGGATAGTTTCAGTTCAAGGTTTAACGATTATCTCAGGGTAACAAAGTCAGGAGTTCATCTACTCTGAATAGGTCAAGCTGTAAGTCTGGTTTTCATAAGAATTTGACATATATTTTTCCTCCTTAGAATCAAGGTCCATCGGCTGTGTCACTGATCAAAACATCAATAATGGTAGCCAGGCACCATCCAGTTATTCCGGTCTTCTGGCAAGAGTAGAGTAGCTCGTGGAAATACTTAGACCTGTGGTCTGTTTCCTTTTCTGATTCCTGAGTCTTTTTCTGCTGCTCCTGGCAGATAGAGACAAACTGTTTTACCTTGGATGGTCACTGGGCCAACACAGTATATTTATAGTTTCACTCAACTCTGCTTACTATTCAGTGTTGGTACATCCCTCCAAAATCCATTCATCTTAAAAACATCAGACTGATAATATAAAATCCCTAAATTTCTGGGCTTGGCCATCTGAAATGAGACCTTTTATCCTTCTAGTCTCTGGCTTCCTAAAATGCATTTTCATAGCATTCTTGCCAAAGGAAAGATTATCAGAAAAAGAAAAAAGAAGGGCAGTGAAATCAAAAGAATATTATACCAAAGTTTTTGGTAAGGAAATATGTATGTCCACAAACAAACACACCACACCCTTTCTGGGAAGATATTACTGGCCTAGAAGCTGGGTTAGTATATCCCAAAATACAGCTCACAAAAAGCAGTTACTCTTTCAGAGTGTACCCTATAATTAAATAAAGTCTTTTCAAGTGGGTTGTTCTATATCACAATTTAATATATGTTGCTTTAATCTCCCTACTTCAGCAAATGTAGCCATGTTGGGCTACAAAGGTCTCAGATTGTGGTGTCACCAGCAAATAAACAGTCCTGTGTACCAAAATACTCCATCTCCGTCATCTGTAATGAGATATCTCTCCTCTCTAAGCACATTTTCATCACACTAGAATCGCTACCCTTGATTCAAAAGGAAAGACTAGCCCAGATTGAAATACCATTTCATCTCAGAGGTCATCTAAAGACAAACACATCTGAAGAAGCTGAGGTTGAAATTTAAAATATGAGACAACCTCTTTTGTGGGAATGCTGGGATCATGTTGTGTGAGTCTCGCTTTTATCTTTTGTTGACAGCCCTCCAAGACACCCATCTGTCTGTCTGAATTCATTGAGGTCATTTTTTACTTGGAGTCAGAGACAATGGAAGAGATGGTTTCTTAGGAGCCCCTCAAGCCCTATGATCCTCTGATCTTGTTACTCTGAACAAAACAAACTTCTTTATATTTTTTAGTTACATACCTACATGTGAGGGGGCTTCAAAAAATTAATGGAAAAAGTAAACTAAAAGAGAATGGAATTTTCCCACAAACTTTTTGAATCCCTCTTACATAATTAAATATTAAAATATTTGAAATTTTAAACCTGTAAAATAATGAGTAATGTAAACATTACTTTTTTTTTTTTTTTAATTTCCTTTAGGGTAAAGGTTTCTTATGCTCAGCAATACTGACATTTTGGACTGGATTATTCTTTGCTTGGTGGGGGTAGGGCTGCTGCCCTGTACACTGTAGCATGTTTAGCACCATCCGTGGACTCTATTTACTAGATGCCTGTAACACTCCCCACTCCAGTTACGACCATTAGTTGACAAAATGGGCTGAGGTTGAGAACCACTGTTGTCCATATATTTATGATCTACCATGTTTGGCCAAGAAAACAAACTGACCAATTCAAGTTTTTTTTTAAGGTATCCACAAGTTTTAAGGATTTTAAACTTCCTGGGTCTCATAAGGAATAATTAGGATTTTTAACACACAACTGCCCCAGAGGATTTATAAACAGCAGCATTGCTGTCTCAAAGTAAGGGTGTCAGGGCTTGGATTCATTTCAATGAAGACATTTAAGAGGAAGAATTTGCTGCCACATGATCTCTTGGATTGATACCCTCCCTAATTTTAGGAGATCCATTCTTACAAGAGTGCTCTTAAGAAATCCTTCAGGATCCATTATTACCAGGCACTTAGTACTGATTGCAAAGGGAAAGGATTAGGGTCCTGTGTCTATTAACATCATCAATGGGCACAGTGTAGTTCCTTCCCTCCTCCCCAAAGGAGTCTCTGGGTGGGGACGGATGTGAAAATAATCAGAGGGCAAAGAGGCAAAGGATGAAAGAAGGTGACTTGAGCCCAGAGGAAAGAGAATAGTTGAAGGAGGAAAGTTGTCTTAAACATTTGGTGGGTTAGTGTCTGCGAAAGTGAGAGGATCTCTCTGTCAATGAGGAGGTGACTAAGAGCAGTGGGTCATTCAGTAAATATTTACCATCTGGTTTCTACAGAAAGGAACAAGACCAAGTCCCTGTTCCACAGAGTAAACACTGCAGCTCAATATAAGGAATACAGGATTTGTTTTTCTTTTCATCCTTTCTTTTCTCTTCCTCCTCTCTCCCTGTTTTATTCCTTTTGAACAAATTGAGGGAACTGTCCAGTTGAATGTTTTAACTTTTTCCACATTTTAAAAATTAAGATTTAAATAACATGCAGAGAAATTCACTCTTTCAAATGTATAGTTCTGAGTTTCAAAAAAAGCATACAGCTCCATTAATACCAACAAAATCAAGATATAACAGTATCACAGTTTTCACTCACCAAAATTTCCCTGTGCTCCTTAATTTTATTTTTTAAGTTTTATTTAACAAGGAGCTCATTGACTTGCCAAGCTCCTCATAGCTGAGAATTTTAATGCCCCTATATCAGAGATTGCACTTAACAACAACAACAACATATCAGAGATTCTGTAGAAGAGATTTGTTTTTTCTTTTTCTTGGCTACAGGGATATTAGGCCAACTTCTAAGGTCATGTTCATTTTTTGATTCCATGAAACTGTAGTGCAATCATCTATAGACACACAACTTTAAGTATCAGCCCATCTTTATTGACACATTGGGTTCCTCCCAAGTAAAGATCTTTAGCTACATTTTTTAACTCAAAATTCAAACATTTGAGACCAATATTTAGATCTCTGTGAGGGCTGCACAATAAGCAATGAACAACAACAACCACAACAAAAAGCCACACACAAACAACAACAACAAAAAGAAACGCTTACAAGGGAAAGTCTATTGTAATTGAAGCCCAAACTGAGGGAACTATCTACCCCACCAGCACCCAATCTAAATGATCAACTAGAGACAGGCTGAACACTGTACAAAAAACTCCAAACCAGAACAAAACTCAACAGTGAGTCCTCACTTGGTGGAAAAGGAAGTTAAATAAGTCAAGCTTGTCTAAGAATTATCACCAGGTTGAGCCTCGGGGCTTTCCACAGCTAGTTATAGAGTAGATGTGACATCTCCAACCCACTCCGGGAAGTCCTTCTGCTGGAAGATACAGACACCTTTTGAAGGCTTGAGCTCAAGGGCCAGTCTCCTAACAAGGCTGGTCTGTCAATAAGAATAAATGCTTTAACCAGCACCTACTATGTCCACCACTATCTACTCAATTTTATTCTCGCAACAACTCCAAAAATTCAAATTATAAGGCTCATTTTGCAGATGAGGAAATGGAGGTTAAGGAATGACTAATTAATGCAGAACTTGGATTTTAATGCAGGTCTCCTGACCCCCACCCCCAAAACTGTCTTCTCTACCACTGCTAGAAAGTCTCAGTTACACCCATCAGTGGGCTGGCTCCCACACAGGCTGGTGGTTTAGCTCCTTTTAATTTTCTATTCCCCAAGCAGCTAACTGCTCACTTCTCTTTTATTATTTCAACATATAGACCATAAAGGCTTTCTGTTTTGGAAACTATTTCATCCTTTTCATCTCCCAGTTTATTACTCTTAGTAAACAGATGGTTTAGAACATAAAAATTTGACTGTTAAGAGCATTCTTAGCCTGCATCTAGACACTTTCCTTTAAATGTAGGCTTCTTGTCATATATTAGATTCCTTGAGAATTAGCACTAACCAGAAAAAAAAGTCACATTCATTCAATATCACATTTAATTATAAAATTCTATTCTGCTGCAGTTGAGTGCAGATTTAAAAGATTCACAGAACAAGGTAAAGACTGCTGTGTGAGCAGCATTTACAATACCAGGCAGTAGTAATAAATGCAGTGACACTTACCTAATTTCCCCCAACTATCACAAACTTTATATACACCACATGTCTTCTAAAACAGCTGCAGGACTGGTCCTGGAAAATACCACAACACAAGAGAAAAATAAATGTACAACGAAGTGGAAATAATTTGCTATCATATTTGGTTCTAGTCTAGAAATGACCGTCTCTTCCCTGTTTCAGAAACCATTTAATACACCAAACTCTTACTGTTATTACTTTTTTGTTCTTCATGGGAAGATGAATTCACCTTTACAAATGACCTTGGTGCTCAGTTATCAATAAAAGTAAAAGTCTGGACAACGAAGTAAACCAGAACTACGCTTACAAATAACTGAAGCTGAATTTTTAGCTCTTTTGAATAACTGAAGGCAAGAGAACAATGTAGAAATATCCATAACCTGTGCTCCTAGCATTCCTTTTTCAAACCAATCCCCCATTCTACGTCTCTCCATACTCATTCCCTGTCCCCCGGGGGGACTTCAGGTAATTTCCCTCATCTTTCTTTTCTAGGCGTCATTTGATTATCTACACAATAAGGATTGCAGAACTGATCTCATGCTTTTTTGAAAACTTTTTATTGTGATTTGAGTGAAAATTTACAGAGCAAATTGGTTTTTCATTCAACACTTCACACACATTTTGTTTTGTGACACTGATTGCAATCCCCACAGCATAACCGCGCTCTTCCCGTCTTCCTCCCTGTGTTTCAGTTTCCAGTCATCCTTCCTCCTTATCCATTTCTGCCTTCTGAGCTTCATCTCTGAGCAAATGCTGCCTTTATGCTGCTGTATGGTTGACTGTTCTAAGGAGTGTGCACCCTCTCTGTGCTACTGTTTACCCTAAGGTCCTGTATACTGTTTGGCTGAAAGTGGAGCCACGGTCTCAGGGTCAGAGGTTCGTGTGGTCCATTTGTCCTTTGGACTGATCATTTTCAAGTCTATTTTTGTTGTTGTTGTTGTTGTTTTCCTCTACTCTTCTTTGCTCTGGACAGGGAGCGGCCAATAATGACCACATACAAGCTTTTAAAACCTCAATTGCTATTCATCCAAGTAGGATGTTGAACACTGTCTTAGTGGACTATTTATGCCGATTGACCTTGATGTCTCCTGCAACTTTGGTCCTAAGCCTCAAGGCCCAGTAACTCATTCCTTCAAGATGTTTGATACTTATGGCTCAGAAGTGTACACAACTTTGCCCCTGTATGCTCTAGTTTATCCTTGGATATATTCACAGTTCATACAAATATGTATGTTGAATCGTAGTCAGCTAAACGTATGCATGGCTGTATGAGTGTAGTCTCTTATGCCTGCTTATACCTGTTCACCTTGCCTGTCTGTGTATGTATCCATTTGTAGATCTGTGTTGTGTTATTACTGATAATGCAGGATCCTGCATGTAATAGTATTTCCTTTGTTGTCTGTAATTCTTGTGCACCTCTCTGGACTTCCTTTTCTTTAGTGATTTATAGTCGACCTTAAGCTTTTATTATAATGATTAAATAATACCTAGAAAGATTTAAAACAGTATCTGTCACATAGTAAGCGCTCAATAAATGTGGGCTGTCGTCATTCTCCTTGTCACCCAGGCCGAAACCTCTAAGCCACCTTTTTCACCTCCCATGGCCCAAACCTGCTGGTCCAGCCCCACAGGCACACCGGAGTGCATGATGTTCGCTCTACTCTCAAGGGTACACTCATTCTGGTCTGCATCATGTCTCCCAGACTTTAGCTTCTGCCCTTCCAATCCAACTATCACAACACTGCAAAGAATCCTTTGTAAACACAGTGGACAACCTCTCTTTTGACAGCATCCCATCACCTATACACTTATCTTCCCTCTACTACATTTCCCATCACTCCCGGAACCAGCCCTCTCTCTGAGGTTCTAGGAACGCCGGTGCCTTCTCTGACCGGTGTTCTCCCACAAATGCCCATAGGAGGCTTGATCAATGTCTAGGGCAAGGACCCTTCTTCCTGTGACATTATAATCACCAAAATAATGTTTTGAAATGCTTGAAATGAAAACTCAGAGGACTGAAAAGTAATTATATTGATACATAATTATAAAAAATCTAACAAAATTGTGATATAGTAATATCTTTCAATACATAAACTGTTCTTGTTAAGTGTCATGGAGTCCAGTCTGAGGAGAAGCTAGTAGGTTTGAACTACTGACCTTTTGGTTGACAGTCCAATGCTTATCATACAGGACCACACTAAGACCCTTAATATACAAATAAGATCTAGGAAAAGTCTAATTAATTTGACGTAGAGTTGAGCATGAATGATTTCAGGACAACTTGCAATATGCCTGCTTATACCTGTTCACCTTGCCTGTCTGTGTATGTATCCATTTGTAGATCTGTGTTGTGTTATTACTGATAATGCAGGATCCTGCATGTAATAGTATTTCTTTTGTTATCTATAATCGGGTTGATACCGACTCCATGGCACCTAACAACAACATGATATGAAAAGAATCCTGGTGTGATGCTGTGTGGATTAATGCGCTGGATTACAAAAATCAGGTTGAACCACAAGATTGGCAGTTCAAGCTCACCAGCTGCTCCTAGGAAACCCTATATAGGGTGGCTATGGGTCAGAACTGACTCAACAGGACTTAACAACAACAACAACAACGATGATGATGTGAAAAAGGAACCCTGGTAACCCTGTACAGGAACTCTATGATTCGGAATCGACTCGACAATGTTTAACAACAACAATAAAGTACACTGGATTATGAGCTGCTCTGCTAACCACAAGGTAGCAGTTTAAATCTACCAGTTACCCTGTGGGAGAAAGATGGGGATTTCTGCTTCTGTAAAAATTCATTTGCTATGAGTTGGAAGTGACTCAATGCCACACAGCCACCACCACCCACCACCCACCACACCATGATATGGAAAGACTCATATTTCTATTGGTGACAATAAGTGCTACTTTCATCATGGAAAAGGAAATGTTCAATTTAAGTTACAGGTGAGCGAAAACAGAGGCAATATTTTTCCCATTCAAGTTTATAACCTGTTGCCATCAAGTGAATTCCATCTTATTGTGACACTGTAGAACAGAAGAGACCAGCCCACAGGGTTTCTAAGACTGTTATTCTTTATGGAAGCAGACTGCCACAGTTTTCTCCTGCGCAGTGACTTTGGGGTGGGGGGCTTCCAAACTACTGACCTTTTGTTTACTAGCTAAACCACTGTTAACCACTACGCCACTAGGGCTTTTTATCCAAGTTCATGGACCTCCTCTGAATACAACCCATGGATCCCTGGTCTAGTGCCCCAGATTTAAGAACTAACTTAACTTTCTTCTACTTCTTAAAGCTTTTCTACATTGTACCAATTTGGAATGATCTTAACCTTTTTTTTTAAAAAATTACATTTTATTTAATAGGGAATTTAAATATGCATACCATATCTTACGTATTATAAGTTGTAAGTCTCTTAAAGTACGGCTATTTGCACCTCCCACCCTCACTCCATTATCTTTATTCCTTCTAAAACTAATGATGTCTTGCTGAATAGCAGGTACAGTAGGCAAGCATTAAGCCAGGGCTGTTTGAATCAATCAATGAATAATAATGCAACCTTATTTGTCCAAAACAAGCTCAGCCAATATTATTGTTTTCTCATCTGTCTTTGGCAGCCTGAATTTGAGGTCCTAAATATACAGATGGAACACCTAAACAGTCTATATTTAGATGACAGATTACAGAAGTAACACAGGAAAATGTTCTTTTTTTTTTTCACTTCCCTTTAGAAAGTGAATCCTCAGTCAGTGATACTGACCCACAGATCTCCTAGGAATGGAGTAGTTGGCCAGTCATTCCATCATTACAAGGGGCTCTGCCTCCAAGGTGATTAAAGGCTAGTCCAGAGTAGCTGAGAATCTCTACACCTCTCAGAGCCTTTACATAGACAAGGATAGCCAGTGATTTCCCAGAATGAGGAAAGGCCTTGATGGCCCGCACTGACAGGTTACTCTGGTATCCACCAGAGATTGACCAAACATCAGCTTCCCACAGATACACAAGCCCATAGTTTTGAGCTTAGCAGGTTACGTACAGGAAGTAGTAAAATTCAATCTATATTTCTTACAAGTACTCTTCTGAGTAATGAAGTCTTTGCATATGAGGTGGGAGATGGCGACCCTACCAAAGTGACTGCCCCAGGAAGGGATAGATACTTTACGCTGAACCCTTTGGTTAAATCAGCCTTTTTCCTAAACAGCTATGTCTCAAGACTCCTGTCTTTTGCCAAGAAGTATGAAAACATAACAGGATAGTTGTTTTTTTCTTAAATTCAGCAGAATGATTTTCTCCACTGAAAACCACTCCTATCGGCATTGTGACCATTTGCTTTAACAGAAATTAATCATTGGCAGCATAATTCATGCCTGACATCATGTCAAGTGACTCTTAGGACAAGTAGGGATATATTCTCTCTTCCTCTCCAGCAGCTAATGCTGATGAGATATCGACTGAGCTATGCTGCTGTTATTGTTAAGTGCTGTTTAGTCAGTTCTGACTCATAGCAACCCTGTGTAGGGTTTCCAAAGAACAGCTGGTGAGTTTGAACTGCCAACGTTGTGGTTCAAACAGATCTTGGGGTCCAGTGCTTAGCCCACAGCGCCATACCAGGACTCCACTCAGCTATATTGTTGTTATAGTTGTTACGTGCCGTGGAGTTGGTTCTGACTCATAGCAACCCTGTACAGGATTTCCCAGGCTGTAAATCTTTATGGGAGCAGAAAGCTTCATCTTTCTCCCATGGAGCAGCTGGTAATTTTGAACTACTGACCATGAGATTAGTAGCCTGATTTGTAACTACTATGCTACCAGAGCTCCTTCATTCTGCTATATTAGTTACTAATAAAAACAGTAGAATGATTAACAAGATGGCTATGCTATGTTTTGTTTCAAGAATTATAACATATACAATCATAATGTCATAAATAAGAACAAGGTTAGTTTATGGGTACTCCCACACAACAGCATTTAGCATAGACTGTGGTTCTTTTTGTTTGTTTGTTTGCTTCTAATACTTATCACAGGCGGTGGTGTGA